GAATTTCAGTCCATAACCTACCCCCCATATTCATGGCATTTTCTCTGCTTCTTGCCCTTCTCTGTGCAGCTGCTTCCCAGTCCTGGGGCAAAAAGGTGGGTTTCCCGAAGGGAAATGGCTTTGCAATGATCCCCCACCCCACCCCCAGATAATTTGACGTGCTAAAGTCAGAGAAATAATTAGAGAGCCATCTGAGCCGTAGCGTGGGAGTTTCATTTCGTTCCACCTGCCACACGCTGAACACAATTAAAGCAGACGCCTGCCGCGCGAGCAGGCGCAGCCGCATCCCCCCATGGCGCTGCGAGGGCAAAAGAAGAGGGATGGCTGTGTCTCCAGCGAGAGGAGAAATCACGGCAGCGCCGAGAGCCACCTCTGCAGCAGGTTCGGGACGTCTGCCAAGCGGGGGGCCAGGCTGGGGCACGCGGAGAATGAGTGTAAGGGGGACTGAGCATCCCCGGTGCGTGTCAAACGGGGAGCTGACACAGAACGCCCGGGGCTGCGCTTACACAAGTGCGACGCCTGCCTTAGGTGAAGACACCCGCCCTGAAAATTCGGAGGGCTCTGAGCAGGCCGCTCCTCTGATCCCAGGCACACTGATGTGGCAGCTCAGAAGTGCCAGGCTGTCACTCATTCCTTCAGAATTGCTGAAAGATGAGGCACAAATCCCAGAGCAGATATTTTTCTATTTGCTGATCAGCAGAACAAAGAGAAGTTTCTCCTACCTTGTCTTCAGTTCAGCTCATTATTCCAAGTGAAATCACTTATTTCTCCCTGACAGCTATCCAGAAACAGTAAACATTTACAGAGCAATTAAAAGAATATTTTATTCTATGTCATTGCAATAATTATAATACTCTTAATGCTCTAACAATGTACCTATCTAATTATGCTATGCTAGACTAGTACTAATTATACACACAATAACCATCTCAGAGCTTCTTTCCCGCTCGGTTTATCCAAAGAACTGCCGAATTTCCCCCTCTTCCTCCACATCAGCCTCTCTCCAAGGAAGGATGCTGCAGAGCTTACTGGGCCAGTGTAATATCTGGTACTGCAAGCAAGCAAGCACTTACTTGCACAGCTCCGGGCCCATGGCGAGCCTCAGCTATCGCCTGCAGCTTTTGCTTCTCACCTTTTTCTCAGCACTGGGGTCCTTCTTAGTGCCTTTAATGAAATCGTTCTTCCCGTTCAGGTGTCGTTCGTACTCTGCAGGTGTCATATCACCTTCTTCCATTAAGACGTGAGGCATGTGGGGCTCTGGAAACGCAGAGAATCGGGTGAAGAACAGCCTTAGCTAAACTTCAGGTTTGCAAGCGATGCAGGCGCCCTCGTTTGTGAAAACAGGGTGATGTCTCTGAGCCTGGGCAGCATGGGCAACCTGGAGATGTTCCGGGATTACCTCCTAGGAAGCCTAACCCCTGACGATATTTGCAAAACCAGAGGTAATCCTGCTGTCTCCAGCACTACGGAGGAAGACCCCGGGAAGGGGCAAGCCCAGCAGAGAGGAAGCAGAGCCACCTACCACTCGGGTGGATGAGGATCTCCACGGGTCTGTCGAAGGTGTGTTTGTTGGCCAGCGTGATCATGATGCTCTTGGCGGAGCGAGCAGAGGGGTCGGCGTCCGCTCGGATCTCGTGTGTGGGGCTCTCAACGCCTGCTCGGGGAAGCCGAGGTGGTTAAGGGACTCAGGAGGGGGAAGAGCAGGGAGAAGAGATTGCAAGATGGCAGAGGACAGGAACCAAGGAGGCTGTGTGATGCTTCTGCTGTACCAACAGCCCCCGCTAACATCAGCACTGAGCTGGTAAACCCACCCCAGCACAGGTAACTTCCCAAAACAGACTCCACACTGGGGGGCAGAGAAGGAGGGAGAGTGTGGCCATTGCCTTGAGGAGGTGATAAACCAGCCTGGGGCAGCAGGACGGCCCCGGTGTTCCTACCTGCCAGCAAGCATGGCCCGCGGATCTCCAGGTGGAAGCTGAACTCGTACTCGAAGGGGTTGGTGGCCTCACTCTCCAGAAGCTGAGCCAGGCAGAACCTGCTCCCGTGCTCCGGGCTCCCTGATCCAGAGTAGTGCTTGTCTCTGCTGGTGAGATCAACCCCAATTAACACTCTGCACGTGTTGTAGCCCCCCAGGAACAGCAGATCTGCTGGAGGTAGAGCCTGCAGCAGCTCGGCAGCCTCCCACAGCAACAGCGGGCTTCTGCTTTTCCCATCCTGCATCCCCCCGATCAGTCCCAGCCAGAGCCCATCCCATGGTTCTGCGTACGTTCGGAGCTGGTGGTTGGAAAGGCTGCTGGCGTTCTCCAGGCTGGGCTGGGGGACCCTGGGGACACACACCGCTGGCAGAAGGACCCTCACGGCCCCACTGGGCAGTGTCTGCAGCTCCGAGGAGGTGCTGATGAAGATGGAGACGCTCTCCAGGGGAGGAATCATGCCCAGGTTAGCCACAAAAACAATCCTCTCCAAGTCCTCATCCATCATGATCCTTCCTGCACAGAGAGAGGACCACAGCCATGGAAGATCCTCCTCTCCAGGCCTCCAGCCCTCCATCAAGTGCCCAAACCAGCCCTCACTGCATACATCAGTATTTCCCTAAAGAGCCTGAGCCCCAGCCCTCTGCACCAATCCTTCAGCTGTCCAGAAGCAACAGTGCTTTCCAAAATGGATGAGACCCTCACTTTCAGCAGACAGACACTGCAGGGACACAAGTACCACAACTCAAGGCTCAGCCTTTCCAAAGGAGCCCCCTTGATGCCATGGCATATGCCAGCCAGCCACCCCCTGCCACCTCCCCATTCTTTTTCCCCTACTTGTCTTCCCCACATTCCCTAAAACACCCCTGATGCCCTCACCGCTCCCATCGCGAGCTCTTCCATCGGGGAGGCTGCAGCTGTCGAAATAGCTGTCATCTACCTTGGCTTTGTCTTTGATCTGCACTGTCACGACACGCCGGGACACAGCCGCCTCGAACCCAACGACGGTGGTGCACTCATCCAAGGGGTAGACAAAGAGCCCTGCCAGCCAGAAGGATTTTTTAGCAACACCAAGCACTTCCCAGACTCACCAGCCAGGACCAAGCTGCCTCTCAGCACTTCTCTGCATGGTCCTCGTATGTTCTACACTTAAAAAATTGTAGCCTGGGACCGCGAAGAGTGCAACTGAGGACACGGCATGCTTGGTTACTCTTCCTGCAAGCATTTAAAGGCTTAAGGCACGCACAGAAACCCAGCGCTGCGATATCCCTGGCTCTAAAGCTCCAGCAGTAGCTCTTGCACTGGGAGCTTCACCCCTTGAAACTCACCCTCAAAAGCCTGGGCTTCTGGGTTGCGGTAGGTGAGCAAGGCTGTCATCCCAAAGGCGTAGCCGCTGACGCACGACGTCACCTCGGACGCAGTGAGGGGGAGCGGAGAGCGGGTCGTCCGGTTAATCAACCCTGGCATCTTCCCGGGGGTCTGTCAGTGATGGGGTGGTCAGGGACCAGAGTGACCTGGAAAGGCAGAAGGATGAGAATGAATGAGAAGTGCCCAAAACCCTTGCGTGGACACCACCTCATTTTGGCTTCTGCAGCCCTGAGGACAGGAAGGGGACTGATCCAGGATGGGAGAACAGGGCTTGCCGGCTCCACTGGTGGAGCTGGGGATGGAGACAAGATGTGGGGGGAAGGTGCAAGGCAACCCCCCCAGATCCGTACCAGCACAAGGGAGGGAGGGTCAGATCAAACTGCCTGGCTGGGACAGGCAGCCCCAGGGGTCGACGCTGCAGTGGTGGATCACACGCCACCTCCCACACCCACCCAATTCCTTCAGCCTGGGCAGAATGGGTTAACACCTTTCTTTGGCTCTCCTGCTTCTCATTATCCTCCAAACTGCCAAGTTTCTCCAGGATAAAACTATGACCCTGAGAGTTTTCCATCAGCCTGCGGGAAGGAAGGGCAGGCAGAGCCGAGCATCTTCCCGGCCCTCGCGTTTCGGGGCGGGGGCATGGCTCCGCTGCCCCGCAGCTCCAGATCCCTTCTGCAAGGGCTGACTCATCCCTCTGCGGAGACACTGGGATGCAAAGCGGCTACTTCTGCCAATTACATTTCAACCCCTTTCCTCAAGCGGGTTTTCCTCTGTTCCAGCTCATCTCTCCAAGGCTGAGGGTTTCAAAGGAGACCTCTCAGGTAGCTCTCAGGCCACATCCAGTTCCCCTGAGGCATCGGGAGAAGTTGCTAGGCAGCAGTTCTCCCTGGCTGGCTCTGCGATGCTTTACGAAGTGATTTACAAGGCCCAGGAGGAGCCAGCAGCAGTGAAATACAGCAGTTTCTCATTTCCTCGCAGTCCTGCGTTATTAAAAACACCTTTATATGCAAACGTCACGGCAGCTGCAAACGTCAGACGTGAGGGCTGCGAGGAAAACGGCACTAAGGAGAAAAAGGGGAGCAAGGGAGAGCGATCAGAGCTGGCTGGGCTGGAGGAGAGCAGCCAGGGCACCCCAGCAAAGAGAACAGCAGAGATGCAGGGCTGCATCTCCAGGCACATTCCTGATTCCCAGCCAACAACCTCGGCCATTCCCAGTTTAATCCTATTCTCCTTCCACTGCACCCCACGGGGGTTGGGAGATGCATCCAAGGGGATGCAGCCCTGCACAGTCAGGAGATGCGTGTCCAGCTCAGCTGCTCCAGCACTGGAGTCCTCTGGGGAAGCTGTCACCCCGCGGGATGCTCCAAGCCGTGCTAAGAGGGCTTGTGCACTCAGAGCTGGCAAGAGTTCGCCTGCTACAGGGAGAGAATGAAGGCTGCTGTGGCAGAGGCCATCAAGATATTGGGAAGTGATTAAATGCCGGGCGGGGGAAGAAGGAGGGAGCATTATTTTGCCTTAGGGAAGAAAGCAAGCAAGAAATAAGAAGGGGAAGATGCTCTCTACCAGCCAGGCACAACGAGAATTCATTATGGGGTTGCCAGAGAGGTGAATTTAGGCCCTGGGAGCGTGACTTCAGCCTGGCAGCAATCTTGGCTGCCGAGACTTCTGACAGAGCCAGGATTGAGATCCAAGCCCCTCACCTCTCTTGCAGCTCTGGAGTGGCTCAGAGGAGCCCTGCCCCAGCCCTGCCTGCTATGCCAGCTGAAAAACAAACTCCAGAAGGACAGGGAGGGCTTGGAGGGCTCTTCCCGGCTCCTTTCCCCGCCAAGGCCCTTTGGATGGGGGCTCCTCTGCACAGATTGTGTTGCCAACGCCATCAAGTGACTGCAGCATGGAAAGGGGAGAGCAGGGAGGCTGGCATGGGGGAGAGCAGTGGGAAAGCTGGCATCTCTCTCCTGTGCACACTCTGCCCAGGAGCCCACCACCGCCCCCCCCAGCTGCTCCCCATCCTGCCTTTGCTCCTGCGGGACCTGCACTCAGTCTCCGTCCAGGTCACAGGGCTGGACACTCAGGATGAGAGCTGGCAGGATTCCACATCCCAAAAATAACCACCACCATCATGCCACGCAGGGTATCCCTGCATCTACCCAGTCTCCAGCGTGTTCCCTCACTGCCACCAAATATGTCCTGCCTTCTGTGCACCCCAGCACACGGAGCCGGGGAGACACCTCCCGACCCAAGGCATCACACTGCTGTTGGCATCCTGGGAGGAGAAGGGGAAAATGTTGGTGAATACCTTCAGCCAGCTTGCTGCATCACCAAACATACCCTGTACCTGTAACCCCATTGGCTGGGCAGCAGCTCAGAGGGCAGAAATCACCTCTTGGCCCAGCCATGCTCAGGACCTGGCACACCGCGATGCTACCGTGTTCTTCTTTTACATGTTTTCCTTGCATTGGCTCTTTCCTTGACCATCTGCCCCTCTTCATGGCCACAGAGGAGGGAGAGATGCTGGTACTGTGCTCACTCTGCTCCAGGCTCGATTTCTCGGCATGAATCATGGAGAAGGCGCTGATGCCACAGCGGCGGCTGCGGACGGTCCCCGTGACGTGCAGAGCGCTCACGGCTCCCATCCGGAGCACAGCAGGCACTGCGATGTGAGGGCTTGCCCAGAGCTTACACCAGCCGCTCCATCTGGCTGCAGGCACCTGCCCCAACTCACAGGAGAGGCTCAGGGCTGGGTTTTAAAGGATTGAGTTGGAAAGGGTGTTGATGGGTCTGAAAAGGGGTGCGATGCCTGGAGAGCTGCATCCCTGAGCACTCATGTGCCCTCAAAAAATCCATTTCCTGAGTGTGTGTAGTAAAGATAGCAGAATGATGCTCTTCAAGGCATGTTTTCATGCACTGAAGAGCAGAACAGAGCAAACCATGGCTGCCATAGGCAGAAGCACAGTCTGGCTTCCGCACTGCTCCCAAAAGTGGGTTGGGGTCCCAGCAGTGCCACTGCCACTGGGTCCCTGGCACCCACAGCTGACACCAAGCCAGTAAGACCTGAACCAGACGTGGCAGCCGGAATAATGCCACGTGCTGCCTGCGGCACATCCTCACCTAGCTCTGCTGTCTGAAGGGCAGGTCTCCAGAGGCTGCTTTCACCTTCCAAGACACGAACGCAGCTGTGGGAACCCAGCTGTGGCACCGGAGGCATTTTTGGGCTGTTGAATCGCTGCACCGCCCTACTGTAACTTCTTCCCAAATCTTCCCTTGGGAATCTTACCTCCAGGTCCAAGCCAGACCTGGGTCATATCCCCACTGCTTGGCGAATGACTGTTTCACTGCAGCTGGGCAAAATATTCCTTCTGCTTCATCTGCATCAATCGACACTGACATCCAGTGGCTTGGCAGGATGATAACAGCCGGCGTGCTTTGTGGAGATGTGCAGATGGACTAACCCGGCTGGCGATGGGCGCCTCTTGCACCCCAACCCTTCATCAGCATCTTGGGAAGATGCTGGGGAGCTGCCCTGAGGAAGCAAACTCCCACCTGTTCACAAAACCCAGAGAAGAGCTTCTCAAACTGTTGTGGTTCTGGAGCAGAGCCACACTTGGGTATTTCCTCTGGCTTTGAGGGGCAGCACGGCTCAGGGACGGTGCTGGAAGACCCCTGACTTGGCTCTACCTGACCCACACCACCTGCAGTCACACCTGAGAAGTGTGGGACCCCTCCAGCCGCTCTCCCCCAAAGCACGAGGCTCAAACCTGTGCAGGGGACGGGGATCAACCCCCAGAAACATTTTGAGGAAACAGTCGGAGCAAACAGTCTCCTGAATGGTCAGTTATACCCCTGGCAGGTCTCTGGGGCTGTGGATGTTGTCCCAGAGATGGGTCTCAAGGACCATGATTCATGTCCCCAGGCTCCTAGAGCCGTCCATCACAGCCCTGTGCAGACAGCGGTTCTGACGTGGGGTTTAGTTAACCCCTGCCTTGCTGTGAGGGCTCAGCGCAGACACCCTTCGGCTGGGTAAAGCTGCCAGGCAGCCAGCCCCGTGCACGGGCTGGAACCGGAGCCAAGGAGACGCGCCGGGTCCCTGGAAGCAGCACAGCCCTTCTCCATCCACCCCAACCAGGTCCCAGCCAAGTGTGGCAAGCGCAAGCCAGGTCCTTGGTGCTTTGACACCCCCAACCCAGGGGGGAGGGAAGCCAGAGTCCTCCCTCACCCTGCCAAGGTCAATCCTTCCTTCCCCCAAAGCAGTGTTTCCGCAGCTGGGATATCCCACATGGCTGTCCAGGAGAGAAAAACCCTGTGTCCCCCCGTCCCAGCATCGTCCCCCCCCTCCAGCCTCCATTCCCTTCCCTGTCCCCTGCCTGCAGGGAGACAGACACAGTCTCCCTGTTAACCTCTGTACGATGCTGGGGAGGGGAGGGATGCTCAGGGGCTCACCATCCAGCTAGGAAAAGGCGAGGCAGGGAAGCAGCAGCTTGCGAAGTGTGGGCTTGTGCCTGTGGAAATATTATGACAGGGATCTCTTCACAGACCGGCTTTGTGCTGAGATTGTGCACAGCCTTGGGAAGGAACAGCCCGCACCCCCCACGCCCCCCCCGGCAGAGCACACACAGCCCAGCCTGCTAAAAACAACTGGAGAGTAGCCACTGCTTTTCTTACCTTTCCTGGAAGAAGAGAGAGGAGGAGGAAGAGGAGAAGGAGGAGGAAGGGGATGGGGGGGTTGGAGCAACTTCACCCACTCCTCCCGGCCCCTGCAACTGCCCGCAGCCGGGCCTGGGGCGCAAGGAGGGCAGGAGAAATCCCGAAGGCAGCAGGCACGGCTTCAGACCGCTCTTGTCTCTGAAAGACACGGAGAGACGGAGATAGGGAGAGAGAGAAAAAGGGAGGGAGAGAGCAAGCGCCAGGGCTTGGGGTGGGGGGAGCGCCGCACGACAGCCACCTCAGCAACCTGTGGCATTCACCCCTCCATCCGCACCCTCCCCGGGGCCTTCTCCTTCGGGCAGCGATGGCGGGGCCGCCAGCGTCGCGGGGTGGTCCCTGGGGGGGTCTGGGTTGGGGAAGGGGGCTTACCCAACTGGCTGCAGCAGCATGGGCCCCCG